TATATATATGCACCACTGTACAGATTTAGATAAATTTGTTAGTGTGTGGGAAAAATATGTAAAAGGTATTCATAACCACATGTCACAATAAAACATAAAGTCAAAGCCAGCAGGGGTATAACATATCAAATACCATCAAATGAGATAATTAAACTCTAATATAAGTCATAAAAAACCTTAACAAAGGCTTGTTTACTTCTGAAACTTAAATAATCAGTTAAAAAAATCATAAATAAAAAAACCTGATACCTCTTTTGTTATGATGGGTGAAGTACAAGTTCTTCATTTTAAAATGCATCTGTCATTTTGACACTTCAGTCAATAAGAAAATGAATTTGATTTAATTAAAATAAACTGTAAAATTCAGGGGTAAAATCACGGAAATAAGCATACTCCACATAAAACTGTACTATGAGTGATGCCAAGCCTAACCATGGATTCTCAAATCACCATTGCTGATGTAAAAGTGCATCAAATACATTCAAAATATTAGAACCTTCAGAAGGTGCTAATCAAGCATCTACTTGTAGGAAGGCTTTGTGAGGGGATTCCCAAGTGCCTACGGTTCACATCATAAGAGAACATATTTAGCAACAAAAACAAACAACACTGTTATTTAATCAATATTTGTTGATTGTAAACCTGCATCTTGTTGCCTGAGCTGACTGTAGATATCTGAATTATTGTATGAATGTTTGTCCTTTTCTTTAAATGCAGTGTGAACTTTTGGTTTACAATCCACCTTAATACACTGAACAGGCCTCATCGGCAAACTAAACAAAATGGAAATAGATTTTGCATAAACGGCTTTCCATTTTTCCAGTGGAGTTTCACAAACACAAGGTGCACATTAAACTGGTTTGATGGCTTATAAACACCATTTTAATATTTTCCTGTTATGCAAATTTTAAGTTTTTTTTTCCACCAACCTGTAATTAAACGTTCTGTGGTCAAACAAGAAAATCAACATCCTAACTTCCAGAGTTCTGAGACCTACATGTGCAGACACATTTAGACTTGTCTAACGTAAAATTTAACCTGAAACGATTGCGTCTCTGTTTCACTTTCTTTTTCAGGATGGAGAGTGGCAGACAAATTTTCCAGATCTCAGGAATCAAAAACCGTGACAAGAAGAAAAGTTTAATTAAGGGCATCAACAAGCTGGGTGGCAAATACCTTGGTGGCTCGGTGAGTAGAGATTCTTGTGTAGTTTAGAAAAGAATGTGACAGACTGGAAACAAAGTGGTGACGTGTCTTTCAGTCTGTCCGTCTGCAGTGATGTATCATCATTAAAAAAAATCCTTTGCATAACAAGCTGTAATGTGAAACAGTGTTGTTTCAGACAGTTTAAATTTCTTGCACCAATAATCTGACTACAGTTCTGGAGTAACTGTTGGTAGAAGCCAAATTCCAGTTTTAAGTATTTGACTGAAATTTTGTTTTTAATTCTCAGGTCAGACTTTTTCTGTCAAATCTTTTATTATAACTCATGGATAATTTATATTTAATTTACTTTTTTACACTAACTATAATATTTACTCTATGCAATATTTTATAACTTTGCAAATAAAGATTATACGGTTTACCCCATTCAAATAAAAGATGTTTTGACTGTGTTGTTCCTGAAGTTTATTGTTTTGCACCTTACACATGCTTGCATTTTAGATTTTGTTTGAAATTTGTAGTTAAATCTTTAGCTTCTGTGTGTGGGTATGTGTTGCTTACAACATTTCACTATAACTCATACTGTGTATTACTATGCATGTGACAAATGTTATTATATTAGATTTAATTCAGTAAGTAATCAATGAACCGAGTTTGACTTCTGCTGACTAAGTGTGGCAGTTCTCTACGTCATGGTGTCTCAACTGACTCCTTTGTAAACGTAATACTTTAATGTTTGCTATTTATAATCGTAATGGTTATACAACAAGCTTGCCTCTGGGTAATTGGTGTTTATTTTTATTTGTAGCTCATGTCACCTTTACTTAAAGGTGACATAAGCTGGACAAGGTAACTGGTTTACTACAAAGGTTTGAACAGGTTTAATTGCCTTTTACCGGAAAAATGTCAGCAACTATGGTTAAATTTAGTCGTAAAGCAGTTTTAATTGCTTATAGAATTGGTAATCTTGATTTGAGTGTGTGATTTTTTTGCCCCTTGATTTACAAAAAAAGTCTTAAATTTCAATTAGTAATAACATTTTATTATTTTACTCTTTTGAATGTACTTATTTTATTGCAGCTTTTTCATATTTCCCCCATGTTACTGTTGAATGAAGTGCTGAAATATTTCTGTTGCAGATATATAAGCACATCAGCACCCATCTGATAATTCCACAGGTTTTGTCCAGTGAGAAGTTTTTGGCAGCTTGTGCTGCAGGTCAGTCTTTAAAGATATTCTATTAGCATAAATTTCTAAAAAATAAAAAAATATATATACTGTTTAACTGTCACATGGTTAACACAACACTTGTCAGTGAATTCAGTCCTCTCTGGTGGTGTTTCCTTATTCCCAGGAAAGTGGGTTGTGACTCCAGACTACATCTTGGACAGTGTTAAGAATGGTTCGTGGCTGGCAGAGGGCCAGTATGAAGTGGCCATTTTCACAAGTTCTTCGGCTGCCTTCTACCCTGTCAGACAGTGGAGGGAGAAGGTGTCCAAAGGGAGAATAACGGGTGCTTTCCAAGGCTGGAGGGTTCTCCTCATGGTTCAAGAGCCCACCAGAAGAGCCATGTTCAAACGGTGGGCAGCTGCTGAAAAAATGATTCAAATCTCAAAACACTGGTGTATAAATGAAGCTGAAACCAACGTGAAAAATGTCGTATCTCTTGTCATTTGTACCCAGGCTGCTAAAAGCTGGCAGAGCAGAAGTATACAACAGTCCTCCCCCCACCTACACCTCCATCACTCATGTCATGGCAAAACCTGTTACGGAGGAATCCAGTTCCCACAATGCTCCTTGCTACCCAGTGAGCCACATAGTCCAACACCTCTTTGGGGTAGGTCACCGTGTTGGAGTCAGATTTCATTGCTCGCATTTGAATTTGAATTTCTATTCTTTTATTTTCTATTTACAAACATAAGGATGACACTTTCAAAGTCATATATACAAAGTGATAGTATGTGTCTTTTGCATATATAATAATAGTTTATTTATTTATTTATTTTCATTTAATTTGTGGCTTAACTTGACCAATATTGTCCTGAAATTGGTACCGTTTTTTGACAGAGCAACTGTATGGATATGAATTTCAACATGAATGATCAGATGGTAAAGGAAAAAACACACTTTCAAGAAGACAACTTCTTTCATTTCGAAGCCGAGCTGAAGAGCTTCGTTACCAACAAGGAGGTGTGTTTCAAAATGATTTCAAACACAATTTAACCAAGCCTTAATTGGATTTTATTTTACCTGGATAATCTTTTGTTCTTTCCAATATTTTGTGTTATTTTCTCCTTGTAGGAGCAGCCAAGACTACGCTTCCCCGAATTTCTAGGTTACCATGACCCCGATCGTCCCCACTCACAGGTGCCTGCATATCCACACCCAGCCACAGTCACCACTATACATACATCTACAAGATAACTCTGTGTTTCATCGAGCAGATCAGGTCATTCAATTTCCTTTATGTCATACATTTCAATGGAAAGTGACATCAAGAGCGTGGGCGCATCAAAACCAGGTCACTGATTTAACCACCTCTGAGAGCTTTGATTGGCAGACCTATTAACAATACTCTCCACTGTCCTGTCCATACTTTACCCAAGTGGATGTCTGTCAGATTGCTATTAGAAGTGCTCTTGTATTTCCATTCTGGACTTTCTGAGTCCATATGCTATTTGCCAATAAGCGGCGGTCAGAAATGACCCTCAGGAACTTTTGATGCCCATTCACTACTTATTCCCATTACCCTTCTGCCCTCTCTCTTTCTCTCTCGCTCTTTCTCTGTCCCTCTCTCTCTCTTCTCTTCTGTCTCTTTCAGTGCCTTCTTTCTTCCTGCTTTCCATATACTTTTTTCATTTTACCATTGTTCTGTTATTCCTCCAGGCAATAGTCGCAGACTTGAGCAACGTTGGCAGTATGATGGAGTGCGGCCTCTTCAATGAAGCCTTGGACTCAATCAGAAGCGATGCGTTTCCCGGTCTGTTGCCACCAGCGACGCACCTGATCTCCCTCCTAGAATACGCACAGCAGGTAGGACTAGAATTACCAGACTGCAGAAAGTCTCACCTGCTGCCTCCACTATAAGAGCCAGAGGGGCCGTTGTGCAGACAGATCATTGATTCCCCAACACCGTTGAATGTCTGTACTGGCTTGTATTTTAACTGTCACTGTGTGCCACAATCCTATGTGTTTATTTTCATTGGATCACTGATAAAGAGCACATATTTAGGAGAAAAGTAAAAAATTTATTTGAAAAACAAATAAATGGATGAATCTTCTGTAAAGTTTTGAAGCACCTGTTGTGTGTACATTGTACAGGGTAACACAACAGCCATTTTCCTGAGAAATTTCCATGAGGTTATGGTAAACTTGCTCCTCATCAACCCTCCGTGGTCAGCTCCCGGCCCAGTGAAGAAATATTATACCCAAGTGTTGCAGTGTCCTCAGTGCAAGGCGGGCTTGTGGCCTTTTCTAGAGACAGCCATCAGGTAATCTTCATGTCATGTGAGATTTCTTGGGAAAAAAAAGTCTCTTGGGTATTTACGTTTTTTTTATAAGTATTGAAAGGATTTTTCACATTCTGGAGTTGATGGCTGAGTCCAAATTCAGGGGATGTGTCCTTCGAAGAACCTGGCCTACCTGGTCAACGTGGGCTGACTCCTTTGTCGACCGGGAACACCGGTAGAAAGTGTTTGTGAATTTGGACAGTCTAGCCTTTAACTTTATTCCCATCCTTACGCCACAATGCATCATGGGATAGGGTGGGCTAAGAAGAAAACACTGGACCCGTCCCTCAATTCAGGGAAAAGAAGAATGCATTTGTGCATAGCTGTGACATAATTGGCCATTATATTTGGCCTTCGAAGGATGCAGCCCCAGAATTTGGACAAAGCCATTGAGTAGCTCTTGCAGCTGGGTGATGCGCAAAGTGATTTTATTAAATTTATCCCCGTGTTTGATCGCCAAAGGTACTGCCTGTCCAGCAGCGTCACCTGCCACCCTCTACCTGGACCTTCCTTACCCGCAGTCGTTCAGTTCCATTCCGACATCCTTGCTTTTTTCCTCAAGCTCTTTCAGGGGGAACTCTGCTCTATCTCCATCGGGTAACGGTTTAAATGAACTACTTTTCTTGCTTTTAAAGAAGATCTGTGGTTTGCTCTGTACTGTGAATGTCTTGAATGTGACTGTATGCACCCTCGAATTTCACTCTCAGAAACCTGGCGCTGCTCCAGCCGACGCAGGTCCCGCCCACGCCGACTTCAGGTTCATTGCTGTATGGAACCTTCTGGACCGTGTGGGAACGCTCCACGTTGTTGTCCCGTGCTGTGAAGCAGCTCACTCAGCTCATAGTGCAGGCTGCTGCCACGGTGAATGCTTTGATTTTTTCATCTGATAAAGGGGTCCACATTTATGTCTCTCATAGATTATAAGTTACTTTGTATGATCCGTAGTCTGAAGTTGTTTTTCTTTTCTTTGAAGTATTCTGCCAAGCGAGAGGAGAAACAGAAGATGTATTTGGCAGACACTCTGCTGCACCTGCTGTCCGTGGCAGTGGAGTTCTGGTGTCAGCAGCACTTCAGACTGAATCAGTGCCTGGTGGAAAAAGGCCTCAAAGACCTATCAGAACATTTTGCAGTCATTAGCCAGGGTATGCCCTAAAAACTGAACAGCACAAATGTATTACAATTATATTGTTTTTTTTCCCCCTTTTAAGTAATTTATTTTCTTTATTTTCTCCCGTAGATTTACCTCCAGCAGTTTTAGTGGAGCTGCTTGGTTGTGTTCGCTCCTCCAGGCTTAGGTTGGTGATGGCTGATGCCACATTCAGGAATCTCTGCTGCAGAAATGAGTTCACTGTGGGCGATGGACCACTTTCACTCAAAAAAATGGTGCGTGTGTGTTTTTAAAATTTTTTTTTTTTTTTTTTTACTTAACAATGTATTTTAACAGCTGAATAATTTGGTTGATTCAGTGAACTGTGCTTGATATTTAGAGTGATTCTGTTTTTTTTAATGCAGCCAAAATCAATCTTTATAGGAAATAGTATAATTTCACAGCAGAGAAAACTACTTACTTTTTGCTTTAATGTACTGTTTTGTCCCTGTTAAGTTGAGAAGTAAAAGGCCAGATATAAAGCTAATTATTATAAGAAACATAAATACTACTGTAGATGGTCTTTGTGATTGCTTATCTATTGCTCAAAAAAAATCATTTTTTCTTTTGGGGAAGCCAAGTTTATGAAAAGTAGATCATAAATCTGAAGAAATTATTGGGGTTTAGGTTTACATAACTGGTTTAAATTACATACACATGGTATAGTTTTATGATAGAACTGTAATGACTGAAGTCTGGTTTAATCAAGTGACCAAGAGTTCAGCCCGACAACCAGGAAGTGCATTTGATTTTAACAAAAGCTCCGAGGCATGGCTCCGCCTATTTGATTACGTCGTCAGTGGAGGGGTCCCTGTTCTACTGAAGCCATGCCCCTCAGACATCAAAAACCTACCCTAATGAGGATTTAAAAGTTCAGTTATGTGTTGAATTTGTTTTCAGGCATGTAGCTATTAATATAAAAATCATCAAGTTATGCGAAACAGTCACATTCAACAATCATTACAGTTCTATCGTAAGACCACACCATGTGTATGTAATTTAAATCAGTTATATAAACCTAAACCCCAATAATTTCTTCAACTCTTTGATTTAATTACACTGATATCAGTACCTGTACAGGCCTAAAGCACATTGTTTTGCATGTTTGCAACTTTGTTTAAACTCGATGCGCCATGAATAGACTTCTGATGTGGTTTGACCATCATATAATGTTGCAGCAGAGCATCTGGTTCTCTCGCCCACCCGGTCCTGCAGGGACACCTACTTCCACTTGAAGTGTAAAAGACTCTGTCTGACCTTGTGTGTGACTTCTGACAGGTGTGTTCTTACCTGCCAGCTCTGGGAGCTTTAGCGCAGCGTCCCAGTGGTGCTGGACCCACCTCACACAGCTGCACCAGTCCAGGGACCAGCAGGTCAGTTACACTCAGCCTTCTGTCAATACCTTTGTTAGTTTACATTGTGCTTTGTCAAAAGAGCCTGAAGCGCAACAAAAGAGTGTAATACATCAACTGGATGTATTTTTGACCTGATAGGGGCTCTCTCCTTTCACTGTGTTCATAAAGCACCTCTTAAAATTGTGACACTTTTAACAAAACTGTTTTCCTTAGAGAAAACGTATGGATTTTTTTTTTCTTTTTCTGAAAGCTGCATATGTCACCATATCTTCTTCAGTCTTTGTTTTCGTCTCGTCTTTGTCGGCTTCAGAGAGTCTAAAATAACAGAACTATTCAACCAGCAATTTGCTACGCCTCCTTTGTCAGGTTTCCACCCACATAGTTAGGGACAGACAGCGCTGCATGGAGCAGAACAGGTGAGCGCGAAGATATGATGAGAAGTGCAAGTGAAAAAGGAACAAAGGAGCACCTGGAGGGAGGAGAAGTGTGCGGGGGTGGGGGGGATTGGTGGTGTGAGGGGTGGGGGAGCTGGAGACAGACAAGTGGAGGTCAGCCAGAGCGTGAGGAGTTGGCATGTGATGGGTCATGCCCAGGTCTGATCTTATCAGTATGTGCTGGCTGACAGGAGGGGTGCAAAGGGAGGTTAAGCCCCTCCTCTCTCACACACACACACAATTTGTGTGGTTCGTACTTTGAGTCAACAGATAGATTTGGATATCCCATCAGGCCCTTGCTTCTTACCTTACACCCAGCCCACACTTCCCCCTCCTCACTTTTCTCGATCTATCCTTGCATACTAAATCTCTCTCTTGATGCAATCACACACACACACTCCCTCCATGCTCTCTGTGTCAGACATCTGCTGCTCCACCAGCAGGTAGTTGGCCTGGAGAGGAGCCGGAGTCACCAGGGAGCAAGTTCACGTGGAGGCTACCGGTTCACGCACTGACCAGACCTCCTCTTCCCTCCATCCTCTCTCCCCGCTCTCTCTTAAAGCTTTTCGCTTCTCGAGTTAATTTTGACACAGACACGAGCGGAACCGAATTAAACAAGGAATGGAGTCTGTGCGGATGAGATAAAGAAGTGCCAAAGGGCATGTAAAAAAATCATTTGACCCTAAAAGAAAGAACGAAACCAAAATGACAAAGCCTGTGATAAATTGAGAACAGACACCAAAAGCAAATCTTGTTTCCTCCCTTTCATGGTTGAATTCTTGATATTGTACGTAATTTCAATGAACTTGACACTCTTAATCAATTTATCTTGCACTGAAACATTTAGAAATCTGCCACACTTATTCATCTCAAAGAATGTTCGAAACCAAAGCCGTCGTGTTAAAAAAGCGTCAAATAATGTGAATATTAACCTTATAAGATAACGTGTATTTAAAGCTGAACATTTTTGAAAGCTTTAAGTTTAAATATCTCCATTGTGATGATGGTTTCAGAGGAGAATTAAATGGCCCGCAAATTGAGAGCACACAACGCAAGATGTTTGGGAGGAAAAGTCACCAGCAGGTTGTAATGTTGTGAGAAGCCAACATGACACTTTTAACTTTTGTTTGTTGACACATTAGGGGGCTCTCAGGAGGGTGTTGAGGTTATATATGAGAGAAGGCGAATGTGTTTCATCCTCTTCAACAGATGAGCTGCCGTGAGGGCACATGTCCAAGCTGCGCCGAGCTGACAGGGCGGCTGATTGAGCGACTGTTGAGACGGCCGTTTAACTCACCGACTGGCTGCGTGGCGCTGAGCGCTGTTAGCAGAAGGGAAGCTATAATTAAACTGAGGTTATCCTCCTGCCTGCTGCTTAGTAATACTCTGTGCATCTTTGCTGCTGTCATCTTGAAAAAAAAAACTAACAGCGACATCATTTGCGTTGGCTAGCTTGGACGCTAATTTGAAGAAATTCAATATATCATATGATATAGTTTAAAAATATGACAGAACCCTTTTTTTCTACATATGGTAATAATAATCATTTAAAAAAAAACAATTGGACTTCTACTTTTTCCAATTGTTTATTTTTTAGGGTTATGTATTTTATTTTTGGGGGCTTACAATGTTGATGACAGCGCAGTGCAAATTGCTTAATTTTCTTATCAATTTTAAAGTGCCTGTAACATAATTTTTTTTATAATAAACATACATTTTTTTGGAAAGATAACATTGATAACATATTGCAAAATAAATTTCATGCCGCTAAGATGAACAGTTGTTGAGATATTTGCATATGATGTAACAGGAAGTGATGTCAAAGGGGAATGTCTGCATGTGATCAGAGCGTTGTTACAACAGCTAACAGCACAGGCTGTAGAGTAGAATCTGATGTTTCTTTAGAATTTTTTGAGTCTCTCTCAAAGAGAGATGAAGAAGAGTTAAAGTTTAAATAATATTGTTTTAATAAACAAAGACCAGGGAGTTTATTTTATTAAAGAGTTCCCCCCTTTGATGTCACTTCCTGTTTCATTTTGACTGAACCAAGTTCAAAAGGAAATAGGTCAGTTATGTGACAAAATGAGTAAAAATCATGTGTATTATCATTATGGTAATTTTCTTCAGTATAAAGATGTTTTCTTTGACTTTCTGTGTTTGAAGGATAGGCATGTCACAGGGCCTTTAAAGAAAAAAAAATCATCATTAGACAACAAAGCCCATTTTCAAAGTTATTTGGACATCTTCAGAAATCTGATGTTGCCATCCCTAGTTCCAAATGTAATTTAAGAAAAAAACTATTCTATTTGTTTTTTTAATATAGTATGATTTAAAATATTAAAGATGATATGAGAGGTTAGTTGCCATGCATAGGGTTTCCTGCAATTGGACTGGGTAGTAATTACGGCTAATAATTGCTCACGATTTGTTTCTTCTGAGTCCACCACCAAGAACACACCCTGCACCAGGCCCAGAACTGCTAACTGTACCATTAACAGAATGCTGGCCTCCCCAAAATAGAGCGTTACACAAGCCAAGTAGAGTACCTCCAGCCATCGCTGCTGCCAGCGTGCGTGGACAGTCAGGGGGACATTCAGGTGAAATACTCTGTGATGAGAAATGGTGTGCCCTCATCATAGCATTACGGAGTCTCTCGCGCGTTCAAATACACCCAGAGCTTGTCTCATCTCTTCTCAGCCTTGTCCCTGCTAATAACAAGCAACGTGACAGGACGTGTGTTTCCTCCTCACTGCTGGCAGCTCCTTCCTGGCTTCTGAACAACCCAATTACCAGGGAACAAGCCTCTTCCCTGTAATACGGATGGCACTCCACTTTAATGCAACCCGCGCTCGCACACGCGCGCACGGGCGTACACACGCAAGACACCTGTCAGGCTTCGTGCAGCAGGCAGATGCTCCGTACCAACATGCAGGACTAGTGACAACCCACCGCTATTAGCATGCCACTACTTTGAAGAGGTTTCACTTTCTTTTACTAGTTATTTTCCCTAATGTGCTTTCTCACGTCGAGTTCTTCATCTCTGCGTTTAAGCTGTTAAGTGGGACTGGGGTGGGGGGGGGACTACTTTGGATACAGGAAAAGAGGATAGCAAGTGTGTATGAGCCAACACAGTGAGGGGTTTGACAGATATCATCAAATGTAAAATAAGATGATGCCACGCCACGTGGGATTAATTAGCTAAAGGCACATTTTACTGCATAACAGGTGTTTCCACTTTCCGTGTGACTTCATCTTCTGCAATTCTCAATCACTAAAACTTTGACCTTGATCAGGTGAATCAGGGATGATATCTCAGTTTTTTTAATTATTTGAAATGGGTAAGAAAAGTATTGTTTTTGTTATTGTTGTTGTTTTCCTTACGATGTTTGCTTACAATGTTTGTTGTCTTCATGCAGAAGTCAGAACGTTTTGGTGAATGAAACAAGTTCAGAAAAAGAGAACACCCTCAAAGGCTTGAACAGAGTCAATGTAGCAGGTAAGAGACACACACACGTGTGCACACAGTATGTATTTCTATCTTGTTAGGACCATTCATTGACTTCCATAAATTTCCAGTCATTTCTAAAACTAACCTGGACCCACTAATCTAAACCTTAACACCCCCAGTACGTATTTAACTCTAAACCTAACCTAAACTCAATTCACACATAAACCCGATCCTCAACCCAAAAATAGAGTTACACTAAATTAGGACTGTTTTTTGGTCCCCATAAAGACTACTGGTCTTGATAAGGTAGATTTGTATCCCAGAAACAGTCCTAAAAAAGGTAACACTTACAAGTACACAGTTTGTTTTTATATCCCCGTGGAACCATGGATTGACTTACATTCATTTTCAGGTAATTTTTATAGCCTAACCTTGACCATTTACCCTAAAATTAACCTCACAGGTACATACCTGACCCTAAAACTAACCTAAATTCAGTTCATACCTTGGTCTTAAACCCAACCCCCCACCCAGAATTAACATCCGTACCCGTGGGGACCGGGCTTTGGTTCCCACGATGTGGCAAATACGTGCCCACACACACCTGTTTAACGATACTGCCTCACATTTGCAACATTCAGACTTTTAATAAACTGATGCATGACACGAGGTCATCTTTAAAGAGGAACATGATAGCTCTGTCATCACTTTCAGTTTATTCCTGAGCAACATAATTTATGGAGATGGTGATTGATTTCCATTGGTCGTTGCTTCCAGCCTGTCAGCTTCAAAAGCTGCTTGTATGAATAAGTGGGACTGCTGTGTACCTTACTGAGTTTGGACTGTCTGTATCTTGTCTTGTCACTGTGAATATTTTTCTCTTCTAATGAAACAATTAAAATTGAAAGTTTGCAGAGTTTATCTCAGATGTTGAATGGGGTAAAGCTGCAACTTTACAGTGGCTACGCTGATGGAACTTCCTGCAATCATAGGCAGTGCACTCAGTGTGAACTCTCGAAAGTGTCAGCGCTCATATCTCCCTCCTCCACCTGATCAGAAAGGCCCTGTGCCGGTGCAAAGGAAGGGTGGAGGGTAAAGGAGAGGTACTAGAGGAGGAGAAGCTGAGGCAGGAGACTCAAAGCTGTTGGCATGTGTTGTTTTTCTACTACGTGATCTCTATACCGATGCACTCGGCATTAATTTTTGATGAACCATCGGCACAGCATCCTCCCCTCTCGCCCTCTCATCCCTTCCCCTCTCGTCCCCCTTTTCTCCCTTCTTATTTTTCTCTTACAGGCACTTTCACCCACTTGTGTAAGCTTGCTTTCTTGTGTTCCACACATCTTTGTTTTAGAGCATCTGACTTTCCTTGTGGAAACCCTTGTATCTTTGTCACGGTAGCTGAGAGGGGTTGAGGGATTTGGGAGCAACTTCTCTTTTCCAGTTTTGCATTTGCCTTTTTTTTTTTTTTTGAAGCTCGGCATAGATATCAATTTTAATGAGGCCAAATATACTGCATATAGATTGTCAAACAGGAACTGCTGAGTTTCACTGTTTAAAACGTGTTTGCATTTTGCTGCACATCATCCCTGAGATAAATTGGTAATGTCAATATTCACATGAAGTTACTCAAAGACTGAGTACATTGTTCATGAATACGGAAAGCATGCAATGAGAAATATATATATATTTTTTTATTTTATTGTGGGAACCCCTTGAAAGTCATCCTACTACTATGATAAAAAGTTCTGGGCCAATGCAACAAAAATTGAGGAAAGTTGTATTAAAAAAACACTCACACACACACTCACACACACACTCGTATCAGGTGTGACATCTCAATTACTAAGCTTTATTATTAGACCAAATGACTTTTTGACTTATTGAATCTTTTTTTCAATGTGAACTCAATGCTTTTTTAAGGCAACAGAACTTTTTAATCCCAGTATTTTTGGTTGCCTTTACGTTTGATATGAAATAATTGCATTGAGTCATAGTTGTCTCTTATCTATTAGTTTAATTAATTCCTGGAGGTACAAAGCAGTCTACAAATTTTGGAGCATTGTGTGTTTGTGTGTGCAGGTGAGTATTCACTACTATTTGGGCACAAAAATACCTACTTGTTGGGACCACAACCTACTTATGGGACATTCCTATGAAGGTAAAGGCCATTGGGTCAGGGTTATAAAAATTGTATGAATTAAGGTATGAATTCAGTTTATGTTAAGGATAGGTATGTTAGATTTTAGAGTAAGAAGTCAGGGTTAAGCTGTAGAAAAAAAGGAAGTCATTGCAATATCTCCACAAGGATACTATTACTAGACTGTGTGTGTGTGTGTGTGTGTGTGTGTGTGTGTGTGTGTGTGTGTGTGACAGATATTAGGACAGTGGAAAAACTACATTTTCCAAATACATAGTTTTGTAGTACAAAAAAAAAATCCAGGCACAAAACTGGCTTATGTGCTTTCATCTGTTAAGAAATACAAAATTATGCTTTTTAACTATTGAGCAAGTAAAATACAATATTAGGCTACAATCGTGACACATTCAGGTTTATGCATGCCCCATCTTTATTTTAGAAATTGTTGCTTTTTTTATTTAAAATATATTGAAAACACTGGGGGAAAAATATTTGTTTTGACCATTTTTATGTTGTGTTTCTTTATTATGTTGAGGTTACTTGAAAAACACTTATTTTCAGAACTAGCTGAAGATCTGTATTTTTTCATTGAAGTTTTTTTTAACATTGTTATGAAAAAGTTCTGCAGATGATTACTTAGGGATTGTAGTTCTGGAGTTTTCAGCTGTATGATTTCTTGCTGCTCAGCAGATGGAGTTTAAAGTAACATTTGTCTTGTCGGTGTAATAAAAAATTCTGTCTACTTGGGCTAAAGCGTAGAGCTTGAAAATGCATTCAACAGCAGCTGTAAAAAAATAAAAATAAAACAAAGCAAAAAGAAGAAGAAAAAAACATTTGGAGACAAAAACTGTCTCGAAATTGTGAAGTCCCTTTACACCCACAATCTGCAGCTGCGCAGGTTCCTTCACTTGTTTCGCTTCGCTATGCTTCTTTTGTTTTCTTATAGAATTGTGAAGTTCCAACATCGTACTCCTCTGATAGCTCTCAGAAAAGGATCATTTGTTTCACTGGTCATATCCAGATGTGCAGTTTGCTGACCTTCACCAATCGCTCCCTCTTCTTGAGGCTACATATTGATTTTCTGTAAAGAATGTGTGTATGACAATTTTTTTCATACTATATCACACTTCAATTTGGGAAAACAATATACCTGCAATGTGTAACACTGCTTAACAGTGACATTTATCTAAAGCAATGTAAAGATGAAATGTAACCCGAGCCACCCATTTTTATTTTAATTGTCTAAGATTATCTAGGTTTATAAAATTATATTTTCTGTTGACAAAGAAGATGTCAAGAGGATGTTTGCTGCTCTTAACCGTTGTCATTTTGGCAGAGTAAATAGTAATATTACAGGTAAATATTTCTAAATTCTGGTGTTTAAGTCTAGTCTTTTTTTTTTAGTCAGAAATGGGTAAAGCAGCAGTAATCCCCACTTTGGAATGATTCTAGTGCTTTGCTTTTAAAACCAGCGACAGTAGAAGTCTTCAAATATTTTTAAAATGGTCAAATAACTGACCACAGAATACCTCCATAACACATTCCTAGGAAATAATATTGTTGCAGGCTTCCAGCAGCTTTTTGGTCCAGGGATCAACGGGCCAAAGCAGTGCTTTACAGGACTGCAGCGTGCAGACTGAAGGATATAAAGAGCAACACATACATTTAACTTTTCTATTAAAGTGTGAAACTGGGGATTTATAGAAAAGGACATGCGGATTTATCCTTTCCGTGCTTGTAAATGCTGAGCATGCAATTACCCCTATAATAGAGGCGTTGTGTCCAAATTGGAGCCATTAAAGTGATTTAACACTGCGTGGATTGGCCCTGGCATTTGCGAGGATGTGTACACATGGGGTGTAGTGGAATGGTTGTTTAATCACAGCGTTTTAGCGCCTGGTAATAGCACAGCAGCCCACAAAGAACCCTGACATCGTACAGTTTACTCATTAAAGACTACAGTTTGGGTTTGGCTCTGGCATCTTATTGGTCACTTTTGATTTTTAATTTAAAAATATATTGGTTTGCTTCGCTAATTGACCTAGAGTTCCAAGTACTGATATTGTACAGCCACTTGGGTGTCTGCTGTGGGATGTAATGGTTACAAACTTTTTTTATTTCTAGATTTGACTTTTTAGCTTCATGTACGACAAAATATTCTGGTTATGAATAATAGGAAAAAAAAGTTTTACATCACAAAATATCAATCCAAAATAATTACAGCTGAATGATTGCATCTTCAGCCTTTTTGTGTTTTTTTGCCTCTAATTGCTTATTTAAATATGATTTTGTCACTTTTTCAGGAACATTTTACAAATTTTTTTTCACTTTTTTTAATACTTTACATATTAAACGTTGCTATCATATGTGTTTCTGGATATATGTTATTATATATGTTATTGAATTAGTAATGTTTTCCTGCAGTCTTCGGTTGATAGAGGTTTTTGCAACATTGAGATTTAAAATGTGTTAGCTGTGAATGTTGCCACAAATGTTAAGTTTTATTTTTGTATAATGTGTGTATGAACAGATATTCAAAAAAAAATCCCTCCACATTCAAATTACCGCCAGGGCCATTTAATGCATCTTTTGCACCAGCAAAAATGTTTCCCGGTAAAAAGGAATTCTTCAAAATGTATAGGATCCAGGAATCTCAATATTATACCAGCATGCTTTGAAATGCAGGAAACCCTTTTACTTTCACTGTCACCGCTTCTTCTTTCATATCCTATTTATTCCTCCTCCACCTTTTTTTTCCCACCCCAGTCTTTGCTCTATGTGCGTCTGAGCGGTGCCCCTGTACAGCCACGGCATCCTGGGGAGAACCAGTAAAGCATTTATTACAGGCTTTGCAGGTCTGTATTATACTTGCAAGCGCAGAGCCACTCATGCTTGGCCTTTAACTTCCCTCTGAAGTTCAGCCATACATAAAAAGACGGGGGGCTCTGGGCCTCTAAAAGATTCCTGATTTTATGTTGTATTGAATAAAGTAAGGGCTGCAGTGAACAAGAGAAGGAAAATTGGAAGAAAACTTTGTTTAAAAATGTTAATGGAATCTTTAGAGTTTTAGTTCCTCTTCTTTTTTATTTTATTTTTTATTTTTTGCTAGTAGTTTGCTGAATAAATACCACGTGGTGAAAATGCCCAGCAGAGCTTTTGAACCCAAACTCTGTGAAGAATCCTTCCAGAGTTTTTGTGTCTGGGCTTCCTACCATAACTTCCTCTCAAGTGAGATTTTAGGGATGAGCGAACAGGAAGCGAAACAGTTTACTCACCACTGCATTTATTCACTCTGCTTCTGCCCTTTATAGCAACTTAGTTGGGCAAAGGGGGTGTACGCTGAAAAATCTGTGTAAACGATATAAAAGAGCGAAGAAAATGAACCCAACTTTTCATCGGTAATGTGGTTTTTTTTCTCATTTATTTTAATCCCCGCCTGAAGATTACCCCCCTTTCTCATCACTCCTTAAATCGCATCCTCATTGGTGGGTCACACTTTTTTTTAGGTCAGATTTTTGTGTGTGTGTGTTTGGGGACATTTTGGTGGTCTTTTATTGGTGTCTATATCAAACGGAGGGGACAATGGGATGGATTTCAGTCACACCCTAATTTGCGATTTCTCTCTTCTCTTCTACCTCTTTTCGCTTTCCGGTGGGTTTGTCCGTTGTGTGTCTGTGCGTGTGTGTGTCCTGGCTGAAGGAGAAACACTCCTCCACAGAGCTTGCAAGAGGAACCAAGTGGAAACGGTGCTCCAGATCCTGGCACTTCCTGGCACAGACATCAATGTTAAAGGTAAGGCTTTCTTGCGTTCTCGTTTTCCTGTAACCTCGGTCTTGTTCGTTCTCTCGCTGCGCTCCCGTTCGCTCCTGGGTTTCGAAGAGCGGTTAACACCGGAGGGGGCTGGAAATAGAAGTGCGGGTGCGTCATCACTGAGGTTAACCTTTCTCGAAAATGTGAAGGGTGTGTCTAGAAAGAAAGCAGGGTGGCTCTGAGGTCTCTGATTTATAGATTTCTAGTCATTTTGCGGACTGAATGTAACACCTTTTGATATTTTATGGGCATATTTCCTTTGTTTCTTTAGGTCAAAAATAATTACTCGCCTTTCTTTAATGGAAAGATGCTGTTTTAAAGGTTTCTCTCATATAATAATCAGCATTTAAAATTGCTTAAATTGGTGTCTCAGCAGGAGGCTGATCAAGAGGAAGAATAGATAAAACTGTAAAATTTCGGTTTTCACTTTGCGGTTTGCTCCAAAAATATGACCTGTGATAATTAAGATAAAACCCAGTAGTCTGACAAGTCTTTTTTCTATCTAAGAAGATTATCTTGACAAATGATTAAAAGTTGGGGCGTCTATTTTAACCGTTCTTGGAAGTATGCATTCTTTTCCTTTTTGATATTGTGTATCGTGTAATTTAATGTTAGTGTCCTATTCAGAACATCTAAATAACAGTTTTAAACTTAAAACAGATTCATTATTTGTTATTAGTTTTAGCACCCTCATCTCAACTATTCTATTTTTTTATTCTATTGTATTTTTTCAGGGCAAAATAGTAAAAGAGTATCACATTTTTAAGCTCTACTGGGCAAAAGCTTAAGTTATTCATTTGGCTTTTAACGATTTGCAGTTTTTTTTGCTAATTTTCTATATGTGTTGTCAAGAATAGTTGGTAATTTTTAGAACTAGCCAATTACTTTAGCAAGGTATGAGGAAGGTAACCTGTCAATATCTTGTGCCTTCATTATGAGACTTGTTCCATTAGCAGTCTCAAGGAAGTCTCAATATATATATATATATATATATTTTTTTTCTTCTTTTTTAAATATATTAATTGTTAAAATGTTTCTTTTTATGTGGGTTTACAATGTAGACCATGCAGGTTGGACGCCTCTCCATGAAGCATGTAATCATGGCAGCACAGACTGTGTGAAAGCTTTGCTCCGTCACCGCCCCGCCCCCGTCCTCAACGGCCAGGTTGGTGGAGTGAGTCCTCTTTATGATGCTCTGCTGAACGGCCACATGGACATAGCTAAAATGCTACTGGAACACGCAGGTGAGTCATCTCCACGATATACACTTGCAACAATTTTTGCGAACGCTAACTTTTTTTCTGTTTCACAATATGCTTTGAGAAACAGAATGTTGTAATAGATGAGTAAGAAAAAATATAAATGAGTGTTGTTCAAACTTCAGCAGATGAGATGGGAGAGACTGCGCATGCAACTGTTGCCCAGTTTCTTCATCAGTCTAAGGTGTGCAACTCCTTCAGAGTGGTCAAAGGTGCTTTGGTGGGCTCTGTCACTATTCTACTTTTTGCATGGTCACTTCATATAAAAATCTGGAAATCCAATCAGAAGTCAAGATTTCATTCTGAATTTCCCTTCTGGTGTTTGTGATTGATTCATGTACAGTTTAGTCATGTCTTGTCATTTTTGTTGGTCCTTGTATATCTGGTATTCACAGTTACCTGCAGTGTCTCAGGAACCTTGAACTGTCCAAGATACATAGATGTATTACTTGTGCCCAGAGGATAGTTGCCGTCTTCCATAGTGTAAGAACAAAAGACTATAAATACCGTCTTCATCTGTCTAAACTTCCTGTTTGTCTTCATCAAAAAGCTCAACACCACAGTGTCCATCTAAACGGATTACATCGCCTCTGAAGATGTCTTCTTCGGCTAATATCTTTATGACAAGATTAGGGGAGTCAGGATGGGTCGCTGGTAAAACTGACATGAGTTTTATTTTTAGTTTTTTGCAGAAATGCGTCACAACAGCAGTGGTTTGCATGTCTTCATGCAGTGTGAGCTCAGGGGGGGTTGAAGTGAGCGTGATGGGTGTCGGTGCTCAGGAGAAGGTGGCGTTGCTGGTTGTACAGCAGCAGGTGTAACAGAAAGTGTGTGTGTATGTGTTTTAAAGTATGTGAGGAGAGCCAGTTTTTTTTTTTCCTGGCAATGAACAAGTCTCTGACGTATCATACCTCTTTCTCAGCACACTTCTCAGTTTGACTAATTATAGTTAATTTGATTCGACTTTCCCATTAACACATGTACATATTCTGTCCTCAAAAAATAAATTAGTCTGGGATTGTTTGGTCCCGGAGAGGAAACAAAAGAGTGCTCTCGTTTTTTTTCTTTCTTTCTTTTTCAGCCTTTCCTGAGTAAGAGAGAGCAAACTTAAAGAGGTCAAATGAAGCAGCTTCCTGTATGTGTAAAATTAGAGGAGAGAGATCAGCAGACGTCTGACTGACTGTCTAGGCCAGGTTTTCTTGTTGGACCAAACAAAACAATGGGAATGAGAATTCAGTCACTTTGAAACACCCTTTGGGCTTGTTACATTATTCTCCTCCTTCATTCATTCTCTACTGACTGTTTGCTTTTTCCTCCCACCTTGATGACGGCTCAGCTGAAGGCTACAGCGGGGAGTTGGCGAGGAGGTGGTCCTCTTGACTCCAGGCTACGCTGGCTTTCACGCTCTCTTTTCCATGATCTTCATTTGGTTGCCATGGACACCATCGATAAGCCCAGACATTTTTTCCCCCTTCATTTTCAGAACTTCAGGTCCAGACTGTTAAATGTGGAAAGTTTTAGCTTCAGGCGAGAGATCATGCTTAGTTACCATCTTTACATTGTTGCTCACTCCAGTTTTTTTTTTCTCCTATTCATCCCGCATTTTTGTGCTTGTGGCTGCATTTCCAACACTCATACATCAGACTCCCTTTAAAAAAAAATGTTTTGGCCAGGTAGACTTGCTGCACACTCCCGTGGTAAGAAACCAGGCTAGTGGGCCAGATGCATTTTCATTCCTCCGTCTCCTTATTTATTATATTCCTTTGTGTTTTGCTCTTGCGAGTGCCAGCTGCATTTCCTGAAACAATATTTTTCATTGAGGGCATTCACTCCGTTGTCCTAGTTGTTTCTAGCAGACAGGCCGAACCTAGCTGCCAAGGTTTTGGTAGGCCAGAGAGGGCAACGCTGACACTGGCACACCAACAAAGCCTTTAGTCGGGAGTGATCTCACCCCTTTGTAAGCCTGTCTGTCTGCTTGATGGCCTGTGCTCTGTATGTGTTTATGGCTGCATTTCTACGGGTAAATAGCATGAGCAGGGTGTGTGGAATGGATAGATCCTACCCCCATTACCTCAGTCCCTCCAGGCTTTATGAAGCTGGCAATGAAAGGATGCCATGGCTGAGGGCAAGGCTGACTTGGCTCCCCCACCCCCCTCCTTCTGTTGCCCAAGGCCGCCCCACATGACCCCCTGTCTATGTGCTTGGCTTGTTTTAATACTTAAATCTGAAGTGTCCTTGGCTATATGTTGTGGTGTGTGCATGCACAATTTTCCTATTTTACAAATGCTGTAATGAGCTGGTTTGCATACCTATCTGCAACAGTCTGCTGGCACTCCCTTGCACCTCCTTTTTTTGTCTCAGCTGGTAGAAATGTTTCAGTTTTGCAGGGTGGCCATGGCAGCCGGTACCCCCCTGATTGGAGTGGAAAATGACCCAGAGCCTTTAGCTGTGAAAAGAAGCAGACCTGGCACACAGAGGAGGTGTGTCTCAGTTAGCAAAGGGGGTGGAGAAATAAAGAAAAGGGGCCTTTTAAATTGTCACCACCCAGGCTCGTGACTGCAATCAATGATGCTGTCCTCCACTCACCATTCTAGTCCACCTCAAGCTTGAAACACGTACCATTTCATTTTGATCCTCCAAAGCAAAATATAGTTGGAGCTGGAAAAAATAGTTTGGGTTTAAGTGCTTTTCTTTAATGAACTGCCACATTTCTTTAAACTGGATCAGTATCAGAGAAGGCAGAGTTGTAAAGTAACTAAGTGCAAATACTTTACTGTACTTAAGTAGAAATTTTGACTATCTGTACTTTACTTGAATAATTATGTTTCAGCCTATTTTTTACTTCTACTTCTTGCATTTTTACACAGTTATCTGTATTTTCTACTCATTACATTTTTAAAAAAGGTAAGAAGTAGAAAGTTGTTACTCCTATTCCATTATGGCTCATTGTTATTAAAAATATTATCCTGATAAACTGCGCCTCCTGAATAGAGTGAATTTAATTGTGGTTGAATGAGAAGTACACATTTAAACCATTCTGATACTGTATTAGTTTGTACACAACCCATCACAGCTGCAAATGACACGAATCATGTCATACTCCAGCAGGACATAGCATACATAGATACAGTATTACTGTAGCCTAGTATAAAGATGTCTGCACTATATATATAT